AACCCCCACCACCTCATCTCCTCTCACCCCCTCCACCGTTTTCTCTGAACTAGATGGAGACGGACTACTCTCCAAGTTCATGCTACCATACTCCAAGGGCATCACCTCACTCCCTACTACACTTATTGTTTCTTCTGAAGACATTTTCTCAATCTCTGCACGAAGTAGGGGGGAGGAATGAAGTCAGGACCCCTTTTCAAAAAAAAAAAAAAAAAACCCCTCTAACACACATTCAACATCATTGTCACTTCTATCCCTAACTTTCTTCAGAGGACTCAAAATCAACCACAGAAAGGGAGAAAGGAGAATACACTTCGATTAAATCAAAATCGGAGATTTGTATACATTACCTGATTTCGGTTTTGAAAACTTGATGTAGAAACCCCCAAATGTTGCAGCAGTTCACGCATAGGAAGCACACAGTAAAGCTTTTACAGAAATTTTGCAAAAAACACAAAGAAAGTATACTTCTTTTTACAGAAAAATGATTATTTATACCTCCGGGAAAAATTAGATCTCAACGGTTGGGATTCGTTTAATCTTACGGTCCTTAGTCACACCATTTCGAATTCGACGGTCAACCCTAAACGGCACCGTTTCGAACTTGACGGTTCGCTTTTTAAATCTGCCCGTTTGACTGTTGCAGTTATTTTTTTACAGCCGCATTTATTGCACATGTCATTCAAAGGGCAGCTGTCACACCACGTACTGCCCCTTAGTCAGACTCCTCAGACGGGCTCACTTAAGCCCATTTCAATACTCTTGCTCACTTTTACACATTCACAATTTTTGCAAGTGTTTCACTTCGGCCCCGGCCACAATAATCCTACATCACACATTTCACATCAGCCTCGGCCACAGTGACCCACTGTTACACGTTTCACTTCGGCTACCGCCATAGTTGACCCAATGTCACATGCTTTGCTTTGGCTCCGGCCATTATGACTCCAGTCGTTATAGTTTATCATGGCTTCGGCCGTTATGACTCTAATCATCATTTTTTATCACGGCTCTGGTTACCTCGTGGCTTCGGTCATCACTTTTTATTACGGCTCCAGCCACCATGACTCCGGTCATCATCTCCTACTATGGCTACGGCCACAATGACTTCGATCACTATTTTTACCACGGCTACGGCCACGATCACTCCGGCCACATTATATTTTAGGCATGCCCAGCATGACCCCCTGTCACATACTTCATTATTAGCTACGGCTATGTATGCATTTGAGTTGCAGATTTTATTTTTTCCTTTTATTTCTATGACTTATCCTTATCCTCTTTATTTATGCACTCCTCCCATTATCCCCAACAACATCATTCACAAGTGAATGACTTCGGGGGGGAGTAATGTAAGGATAGGTCCGAGATGCTAAGCCTCGGATTACTACAGTAATTCTTTTATGACCGAAGTGAAGGATAAATCCAAAGCTTCCTGCTCAAACAATTGCATGACAACAACAATAAGCATATCCGCACCTGATTCTTTATGATGATCTGCACAGCAGTTATGATGGACATCCTTGCCTCTGAATATCTCTTAAATTCCCGGTCCCGAAATAACCATCTGGATAGACACGTCAAGTTCTGATTATCTTGCTTGGCATGCCACGTGGGTTCCTCACTGGAGCATATAAATACCCCCCAGGGGCCACGTCAAAAGGTAATTGAAACCAACCCTGAGTTTCTTTTATCTCCGTTTTAGAAGTAGCCCCAATTATTGCTGACTTAACTATCGGAGTGTCTACCCCGAGAACCCACCTCGGGGCTTTGCAGATCAATTCGGAGTGCAGATACGGACTGAAGAATGACTTCTGGTTTGGTGCAATTACATTATTTAAGATGTTTGATACTAATCTTTTTCTTTTGAATGTCAAAAGTTGAAAACTACAGAAAGATTAAAGTCTGAAAAATCTTGCAGAACCTACGCGAAAGACGAGAAAACTTGTGAAAAGCAAGATACAAAATGCACAAGGAAAAAGAAAACTCCCAAGTTCGTTTGATAGAGTCAAATTTTATTGGAAAAATTTTTATTAGCATTATATAAAAAGTTAAAATTTTTTGTATGAAAATTTGATAAATTTTATAATAAAGTTTTATAAAAATGCTTTATATTTAATAAAAAATTAATAAAAAATCAATAGAGTCTTACGTAATGATAATTGAGAAAACGTCTTTTTCTTAAAAAATTTTAAAAATAATTTATTAATTGAGAACTACGTAAGAGAAACTAAATGCTAAAAATCTCACCTTTAGTCTCCTTTTTGTTATGATATTAAAATGTGGAAGTTCATAAATAATATTATGAAGAAGAAAGTTAAGGAAAAGCTTTTCTCTCTAATTGAACACGACCTAAATGCAGCATCAAATCCCTAAGAAAATCTTAAGGAATGCATCACTCAAGAAACCCAACCAATATCTTGTTTTTGAGAATAGATGTTATAAAAATATAGAATATTAATAATTTAATTGAGATTTCCTTATAAAGATTAAATTTAGTATTTTATAATTTGAATTACATTAAATTATGAAATATCAACTAGTGAATAGAGAAGCTAGTACTTATAAATAAGAATCCTTCGTTATTAAATAATTAATATTTTACAATTTGTTATAATTCAGATCGAAAATACTTTTTTTATAATGATTATTTACCTTTCAATAAAACTATTCTAACAAATTTAGTTTTACTAATTAAAATGTCCTGGAGTCTGTCATGTCACTAACGCAAGTGATAGAGGAGTTCTAAGTTCTAACCTCCCTTTTTTCTCCAAAAGTGCCCGATATGAACGAAAATTAAGTAGAGGGACTATCATATACATTGTTTTAAGCTACAAGGATCAAACTATCATTAGTACTTCTGAAATTACTGTTGCAATCTGCCAACCTGCAAGCCCATGTGGTGTTGACACGTGTTGGTCCAATTACTCTTTTTTTCTTTGTGATGGTCTTACATTAATTGATCTCCTTCTTTTAAGGATTTATATTTTAATGTTTTTTGATATTTTTTACCAAAATTTATTTTTGTCAGAGAATGACAGCAACTTAAATACAATATTAATTGGATTCAAATTTATTATTGTGTTTGTTTTAACTATTAATAGCAACTTGAAGTTTTAAACACAATATTAGTTGGATTCAAATTGTTTTGTCCAACCAATTTTTCTTTTATATTGATAGATTATTTTTTTTTTTTTGATAGAAAATAGAGATTTATATTAAATGGAAAGGAGATTACAGCTTAATCTCAATGCAGGGCACTATAGCTTAGCTAAAAACCGAAGCATAACCTATAGCATAAGTAACAGATTTAAACTATGCCCATGACGAATGTGGACAATTAAGCGAAGAGGGCCATCTGTGACTAAAGATTGTAACTACAATCACTGTAAGGGCAAAAATAGGGCTACAAAAGTAGAAAAGGAGATCGCTATGAGTGTCTGAAACTACTGGACGTCCTCACCTATTTAGCCAGCTTCATGGGGAGAGCAAGGAAAATTCGACATCAGCAGTCCCCAGCCCACTATATGTCGTCCCTAAAA